TGAACAACAACAACAAAAGAAGCCCTTGCAAAGCTGGTATGTGGGGATTGGGGGGTGAAACTTGCTTCATTCTTGTTAAGACAACATGTTACCCCTTGTTCGGCGACCGGCCACAGCCCGGCCGAGATGTTAATGGGTCGCCGTTTAGCAATGCTGTTAGACAGGTTGCATCCTGACCTTAATGATTTAAAACCACAACAGCAGACCGAAAGTCCGAAGGTCCGGACATACGAAAAAGGTGAGCAAGTGTATGCTCGTAACTATGCCAGTGGTCATTCGTGGCTACCAGCCACTATTGTTGATATTATTGGGTCACGAATGTATGTGGTACGTCTTGCTGATGGTCGCAAGTGGCGTAGGCACATAGACCAGTTGAGGCAGCGGTGGGCAACTGACCGTCCCAACGCGTTGCCAGCTGAGTCCCTAAACCCCGAGGACCTTCCCCGACCTGCACAGGAGGTGAGTACTGATGGGCCTGAGGGCATCAGTACTGTTCCAGAGGCAGGGCAGACCCCTACTCTCGAACCAGTAGAAATGGACTAAAGTGTTCCTGACTCTGCGGTCCCAGAGTCGAATGGAGTGCCACTGACAGGAATGTACCCTGAGCCTAGTCCACCGAGAAGGTCTCAGAGAAATCGCCGTGCACCTGCCTACCTAAGCGATTATGATTGTTCATGACTGTATTTGCTTAGGGGGGAGGGATTTGTAATGTATTCAGATGCTGCCATGAATGCATTAAGATGAATGTGAATCATCTCATAAGGAAGCAATGTAAAGCTTCGTCTTCGGCAGGGATGCAAGCCGAAGACAAATGCAACCAATCACATTCAAACAGACCGGGAGCGGGAACGTTTGTGATTGGCCTTTATTCGCTCAACCTGATAGGTTGATATGTGTATAGTAGGCGTGGCTACATTAGCCCAGAATGTTTAAATACCGAGCAGCTGCAATGGAAAAGCTGTTCGGGCTATCAGATGTTGAACCGTGTTGGTGAAGTGATCGTCAAGCTGAATAAACCTGAGTTTTTGCTGAAATCACTCTCCAACTCATTGTTAAGCACCGGAATTAACATTCTGGTTATATTGAAATGGCCTTTGGCCATACACAATATTTTTTTACCTATTATCTGTACCTACCAATAAACCTCTGAATACCAATGCTGGGAGGCAGCAGTTGAGGAAGGCCTCGGCCTCTCTGCCCTGTTGTTGGTCGTCCAGAGGAACCGGTTGGCTGCTGTGTAAGACAGGATGCTGGATTAGAGAGACCCTCCCTGGTCTGATCCCACAGGGCTCTTCTTACGTTCTTTTGGGGGAAGGCCTCGGCCTCTCTGCCCAGCTTGTTGGCTGTCCAGAGAAACTGGTTGGTCGCTGTGTGAGACGGGATGCTGGACTAGATGGACCCTCACTGCTGGTATGATTAGGGTTGCCAGGTCCACCTTTGTCCCCGGCGGGGGACTTGGGGGGGGGCATTGCCAGAGGGGGTGGGGTATCCCCAACATGATGACATCACATTGGGGACATCCCCGCTCCAAGCTCAAGAACTATCACTGGTGGCCACCCTTCTCCCTAACATCCTGCAAGATTTAAAGGGGCCACCGATCAGGTGGTGGGCCCTTTAAATTTTGCAAGAAGGGAGGGGGCAGCTGCCGCTGTGCTCCTGAGCTCTAAGTGGCAATACCACTTGGAATTCAGGCATGCAGCCCACAGCCGCCCCTCCCCCCCTTCAAGAGAGAAGGGAGAGGTGTGGCTGCAGGTGTTCAGGCTTGGGGGTGGGGCTTCCTCCACTGGCCAGCAGGGCTCCTTCTGTAGGCCTTGGCCTCTCTATACCATGCTGTTGACCCTGAGGTTGGCCAATGTGTGAGACAGGATGCTGGACTAGATGGACCACTGATCTGATCCAATAGAACTCCTCTTGTGTTCTTAATCAACATATGTGGTGCTAATATTTCCCACTGATCTGGAATGTGATTCTAAATCCACATACTGTAGAACAGTCTTCTCATTTCTAAGCTGCTTTTACAGAAACAGTCTGGAATTTGCAAGAATAACCTTATGGCTCAAGGTCCTGCCTTTTTGTGACTGGCTTTCATGAGCCAGGATGATCATAAATATAATCCACAGTTACTCATTTTATGACCACAAGAAGTGTCCTGTATTAATCTGTAATACTGCAGCTCATGCAAATAAAGTGGACAAGACTGAACCTCCATACTTCTCCCGTGGTATTTGTGAATAAAGCAGAGGGTGAAAACTGCCAGCTCATTAGAACCTAAAGGTGGTAGTCTCAGCTTCAGGATGGTTATGAGATCCAGGTTCAAATCCCCACTCTGGCATGGAAGCCTGCTGGGCAACCGTGGGCCAGCCACATTCTTCCCACCCTAACCTGTCTCACAGGGAGAAAGGGGGAATGTTACAAGTTGCTTTGGGTCCCTATTGGGGAGGAAGGTGGAGGTACAAATGGAGTAAATCATGCTGTAATAATAAAAGGATCTGTCTGTCTGTTCGAGGCAGGGAGAATGGGTCAAAAAATATCAATGGAGAAAGTAAAGCCAAAGTACCATAATAATTATTTACATTTTTAAAATTATGATTAAGATCTGCTACTAAATTAATCAAATATGGTCCTAAATAAAACTTTCTTCAACTGCCTCCTGATGATCAAAAATGAGGGGGGGGGGCAGGAGACTTCCGGTTTATGGTGGCACACAGGCAGACACATCTCCCGGACGTCCTGGGGATGTAAACTGCACACCAGCATGTGGAAGGGGATCCGATGGGTTGTGACCCCCCCTGGAACCTTGGTAAAAGGCTCCCAGCCAGGGGGATTTGAGGGGTGACCTCTTCGATGGCTGAAAGCTGGAGAATTGAGGCGCCCCTCCACCCTGAAGGTCCTGCCGCTGAGTGACCACATGGTACAAGTGCTGCTGATCGGGACAAGCATTGGAGATCGGGAGAAAAATGATGACGAGCGAGGCTGAATGGCCAACAATGAACTGTAAGTCGGGTTGAAGCGAGCATGAAGATATAAAAAGAAGCTGCCCCCCCTAAAGAGCGATGGGAAAGCGAGCGGGGGAGGGATCCCTCCCAAATGCATAGACAAAACACAGAAGGAAAGAGGGGGGAGCGGAAAAATAAGTGACTAAAACTGTTTTAAGAGACTTATCAGAGCACAGAAAAGCATTTGGGAGAATATCAGAGACTTTAGCAACTTTTTTGAAAAGTAAACAAATCCCAAAAGATGGTGGGGAAGAAACTGGAGAAAGAGAAGCTGTTGAAATCGAAACTAGGGGCCAGTCCTCGAACTGATGAGGTCACTGAGCTCACAAAACTCTTAGCTGACTCCCTGCGCCCCCTGCTGGACGAGATCAGTGGCATTAAACAACAACTGTCAGTAATTGGGCAGAGTGTGGCAGCGCAGCAGATGCAACTGACGCAATCCTTAAAAGCAACAGAGCAAATGGGAGAGAAGGTGAAGGAAATGGACGTCACTACTAAAAAAGTTAAGAAAAAGGTGCAAAAGCTGGAAATGAAACAAGCTACAGAAGAGTCAAAGCTTTTGCAGCTACAAATGGATAAAGCAAATTTGGTCCTACGGTTACAAGGGGTCCCGGAAATTGAAGGAGAGAATCTGAAGCAATGGCTGACTGAAGCAATAGCCCCAATGACAGATTTAACAGCGGAATACCTTTGCAGCGAGATGGATGTGGTCTACAGGTCCTATTCATCGTACATCAAGAAAAATAATCTGCCTGGGGAAGTAGTGGTCAGATTCTCGAAGAGACACGTGAGAGATGCTATTTTGAAAGCAAATTCAGGAACACCCTTGAAAATTGGGAACAATAATATCAGGATTTTAAAAGAAATTCCATTTGATATAAGAGAAAGAACTATAAAGAATTCATCCCTTTCTTACAAACAAATGGCATCAGTTACAGGTGGTTAACCCCAGAAGGCGTCATTTTCAAGATTAATGATAAAAAAGAAAAGATTGAGTCTTTTTTTATATAAAGCACGTGAATTTCTGTGGACACAGCTTGAGGAACCAGAAGAGGGCAAAGAGGAGGAAAAAGAAAGCAAATCTGATGGCGAGTTGGGCTCGGGGTCTTCGGAGGGCCCCCAAAAGCCTTTATAAACTGAGGATTAGAAAAGAAGAATAAATAAGGGCTGAAGGACTCTGATTTGTGCCTGAAAAAAATGTTGAAATAACTTGGGGATGCTCTGGGAATTTCTTTAAACAGTTAAAGGGATGGTTAAACGATAATTAATCTAGCATAACCGACTAAGTTCATTGTATTATTAGTAGCTTTTTGAAAATAGCATGGTGTTAAGCTGATGTATGATCTCCTACTCTTGGGTTTTTAGTTAGTTTTGGGTCCTTTTTCTTTATTCCCTAGATGTAGTTCCCTTTCCTATATTTTCTGTTGTAGTTTTGTAGTCTGAAAAAAAAACCCCAATAAAAACCTCCCCCCAGGGGGATGGGGGGGAAAAGTGAGGAGGGCCAGATGCGCACTTCCCTTTGGGGGGGGCTCTTCCATAATCGTGGGGCAGTGTTGGAGTTTCAAGTTGCTTGCACTTCAGTCATTACAGAGTTAAGTGTTGTTTGTTAGGAAACAGGATGTTACGTTACATAATGTATTCAATGGCGGGAAAGGTTGTGGGAGTTGTTTATCCTAATGAAAGCCCATTATTTCCTTGAACTGAATGAGAAAAGGCAGAGAGAGTTCCTTTTGAAGTTAGAAGGGTTTTTTGGCTACGAGATTTTTTGTTTGCCGGACCAGCAAACACGCTTGAGACGAATCTACAAGTCAACCGACTGCCGGCTAATCCCTGCGTTTGCTGAAGCTGATACGCCGACAAAAAGGAAAAGCAACCCTTCAGCCGAAAAGACAGCACAGTTTTTCAAACCGAGAATGTCGAATGGTGAGGAACCAGCGCGTGATGCTTCGAGAACTATGTCTGTGGGTAATGCCCGTGGCATGCCAAACTTTCAAATCCTCAATACTACAGTGTGTGGCATGGCAGCGCACAAGCAAGCTGACAAATCTGAGAGATGCATGTTTGTAATATGTAGTTCAAAGGCAAATCTTAAGAATGAATGGTTAATAGACACTGGAAGTTTCAGCCACATATGTAACAAAAGAGAATGCTTTATTGAGTTTGATGAACACAAACGCCCCAGCCTGCAACAATGGTCAAGAATTAAATGTTCAAGGATGTGGTTCTGTATTGCTGAGAGTTATGAACATAAGTCAGGAAATTGAGGAGATTCTACTGAGGGACTGTGCGTATGTGCCTGAAGGTACAAATAATATTCTCTCAACTGGGAAAATTGTGGAAAATGGATACAGAGTTCTTGTTGGAAAAGAAGACTGCTGCATTTTTGATGTTAACTCTGATTTTAAATTAATGTTACATGAAAAAGATGGTTTTCTTTACTTGGAAAATATTGTTGAAAATGATGATGTTATTGAGAATGATGATTTTGAAAATGCTAATGATGTGAATGGGCCAGTGCGTAGTACCATGCAACCTGTGTGTGAGCATAAAAATTGTCTTTTTAAATGGCATGTAACAATGGGTCACCGTGATGTGAAAAGTGTACAAAAATTATTGAGATAATGTAACAGTAATGTTGTTGATTGTAATCAAATGCAAAATGGTTGTGATGTATGTATCAGAGCAAAGGGAAAATCCCCAAGCTACAAAGGTAATTCTACTGTCCACAATGAGAAATTTCTAGAAACAGTGTACTCAGATATAGTGGAACCTATAAAGGCATCAGCTGGTGGAAGTAGATACTTTCTAACCTTTATGGAAGCAAAATCCAGATATGTTTTTGTCTACTTAATCAAAAGCAAAGATCAAGTTTTTGATAAGTTCAAAGCTTACATTGCATCTGTGAAAAATAAGTTTGGCAAAGTTCCAGAAGTGTTCTTTACAGATAATGGAACAGAATACAGTAGCAGTGAGTTCCAAAGGTTTATGGAACAAGAAGGCATTGAACATAAAACCACAGTGCCTTATTCCCCACAACAGAATGGCGCAGCTGAGAGACTAAATAGGACCATTCAAGAAATGGCCCACTCCATGCTTATGCAATCTGGACTTTCTGATTTCTGTTGGGCTGAAGCTGTCAATACTGCAATGTATCTGCATAACAGAGTACCTTCCAAAGTGACAGGCCTAACTCCGTTTGAGAATCGGTATGGCAGAAAGCTAGCTCTAAAACATTTAAGACCATTTGGTTCCAAAGCTTTCGCATTCATACCGAAGGAAAGAAGGGGAAAGCTAGACCCCCGAGC